TAAGTTGCAAAATGTGTGAGCAAATGGACGCACGGACAAGTTTCAAGCCTTAAAGGCATATTTACATTTAAGGTAATGTCGGGTATTATATTCGATATTCTTCCTTTTTGTCGTATTCCAATATTCATTCCAGCAATTATTGTTAGGGATTCCAAATTTTGCGTTCGAATACGATAATTGCGTCTGATCTCACGAAACAGCCCAACTAGATCTCAAAAGACAGAGAGAGAGAGAGAGATGAAAAATCTAAGATTTAAAGAACGTACTACGGCTGCAAGCCGTAAAGTTCCTCTGCACGTTTACAAGCTCTACTCTAGATTGACGTATCCGGATTTATGATTTATATTTTTGAAATCTACACATCCCTGAGAACAGTCTGTATATCCCTAAGGCGTCCTTGTGAAACAAATAGAAAGACTTGTAGATGTATCACATGTGTTTTTCCGAATAATAGAATTCATTTCTAAGAAAGAAGTTCACTGACGGACTCTTTAACGAGCAATACGTAAATCTACCCTTAACTGGTGACAAACCAACATAAACCAAGATAGAAGGACACAATGGTCTTTGACCTGCACTTTGATCAAAATACAAACGAAATATTTTCTCAAAGATGAAGTTCAGTTAGTTAGGAACGGCGTGCCATTTAAGAAAAAATTCATATCTGTGCCCTTAATGAAAAATATAATTTCATTAATCACGCTCTATCAACTCAATAAAATTTTTATATACTTGAACGATTTCCTTGTGAATATTAAAGACAAGATGATGACCTTCTCAATTTGCCATTTACGTCTAGAAGGCTGCCTGTAATCTTTAATTCCCGCCTTTTTTTTTTTGTTTACTATTATGGCTACTAAGTGATCAGTCGTAATTATCTTAGAAGTACGTGAAAATTGCGACACTAAAGCGACATTCTTTTAATTATCATGCTTACGATTTCAAAGGTTGTAGGCAATCTTAATTGCTTATTGCTGCTTATTGTTGTTGTTTCAATAATAAAGCATATGCCCAGACTGAAGGATAACTAAACGGTATATATTATGTTCCGTAGTACTAGTAGTAGCAATAGTAGTGGTAGTAGTAGTAGTAGTAGTAGTAGTAGCGTATAAAAAATGCTACTGCATCTGTAACTCATAAAAGACTAGATTTTTATTTCTTTACATCTGAACTGTTGACCTCGACACAATCTTTAATCGTCCAAAACGAATGCTTTAAGAAAATATTTCACCAAGCTACCAAATTAGAAACGATTTGCGACTTGTGCGACCTTGACAATGTACCAACAGCATCCATACTGGGCGGAAAATAACAATCAAGGTAAAGGTAAAGTTTGTTAAACATTGTCCTGTCCCTACTGAACGCGTTTCATTTTCATTTTTGTAATGACTCCTTTGTACTTCCACGCATACATATACTAACAGAATTTAGAGATATAATAATTTTTTCCTTCCTCTTGTGATTGGCGTTTGAATGTACACCTAACAGGAGTTGGTGCAAAATGCATTTTATAAAGATTTGATCTCGAATTCGATTGTTGGTTCATAGTAAGCCAAGCAATGCAACAAATGCTTTTACAATTATATTCCCGGTTATTGTGCGCCGAACAGTTCGGTTTGTGGCTTTTCCTTTTATCCAGAGCAGGGCGAGGTTGTCCATTTGCAAAACGCGTTTGCATTTGCATGACGCATTTGTTCCAGCCTCATTGGTTTTTATACGCATATGCGCATTCTTCCCACTCTTATATCTATATAAACGTATATATATGAGTATATATATATATTTAAATATATATATATATATATATATATATATATATATTATGCGTATGTGTGTGTGTACGCACATTATATACCTATAGATATACATGTATATGTATGTGTTGTCTTATAAGACGAATACATATTTTCTAAAGTCATAGAATGTACTTATGAAGGATTTATTGGCATTGGTTGTGGGTTATTGAACTTTACACTGTAGACTTATTGATAAGATAAATACAAACTTCACTAATTTTAGCAAAAACTCTCTTTTATTACTTAGCGCGTATAATATAAACATCGGACAATATAAAAATAATGTTGTTAATTATTTCGTTTAGGTAAATAAGCAATAAATATATATTTACAGTTTTCTAATCGCTCTGCCTACGTCTGGTGCTTGCACTTTTACAATGAAAAAAACTTCAAATTACAGACAATCAAGAAAACTACATTATAATATGTTGTTGCGAATACATTTTCGCATACTCACCGTACTAAAGATACAGATAAAGCTTGTATGACGTTTGTGCACATTGTGCCCTACAGAGTTAGCCGGTAAAGTCCGTTGTCCGTAGTCTTTTTATATGCCCCTCTGGAGCTATATTGGATTTGTTTGTAAGCCAATCTAAAGCACCCATTTTCGAAACAAAATTCAGCCTAAAATGAATTAAAACAATTCAATTTTTCTTCTCTCACTTCTTCAATTCTAGAGAGGCTTTGATAACACCAAGCACACATTGATTGATATATACTTTAAAAAGCGTTTTGCGTAAGCCTTCAATTTGTCTTTCTTTACTAATAAGCCCTCCTCTCCAGCGTTTATCTGTTAAAATAATAGATAATAGTGAGTAATAAGGCTTTGCTTGTCAAGTGTTTTCTTCGAATAGGAATAACAACAGTTACGAAGCATATTTCAAATTGTTTTTAGCACGAAAACAGCTGTTAATTAGAGAATGAATGCTTTACAATAAACACTTTTCGTTTTTTATGAAAAAAAAAAAATAAATAAATAAATATCAATTACAATCACACATCGTGACAATGCATAGAAGAAATCCAAACTTATAGAATATTCTTTGGGACTACTTATTTAAATATAAATCAGAACTAGTCTGGAATCAAGCCAAATCAATTATTATATAAGAAAAAATGTCGCTTTCCCTGCAGCCAGTTTTTTGATTCTTGTTCAGCAACCATGTAAAGATACTTCCAAGTCCTTTCTTTAAAAGACGACTACATTATATTCTTGTCTTCCACTACACCTAGTTAGAAATCTTTGTCCGAATATTGGCGACGTATTGTCTTGAACAAAATATATATCAAGAAGATAGCATTTGAATAAGTGAGCATAGAATTTAAATCAATAAGTGAGATCAAATTAAATCAAATCGATCCGCCTGGGTGGCCGAAAGTCAAGAATATCGACTAAACACTCAATGGTCGTGGATTCAAATTTCAAGTGCGGTAGAGCTTTCAACGAAGCCGATAGCTTTTAGATGATAAATGCTCTAAGACTTTAATCGTAAAATATATTTGTCTGGCTAAATTAATAATAATAATAACAGTAAATAAATAAAATCGTGTAAAAAAAATTGAATTTGAATCGTGCAAGAACAGCATTTCACGCAGGTAACACTTACATATATGTAGCAGACACACACAAACAAACATATAATCATTATCTTGCTCTTCACTATATGGAAAAATACACGACTTTCAATATAATACACGGCCGTGTAAAAAAAGTTATGGGTAAATAACACATCCATAACACAGCACAAGATGCTAAAGCTATACGTTATCATAGTATCCTGTTCGCTGCAAGAAAGTATAGGATTTCGCGACTAGAAAGTCAACGTTTCACTAGGTAGCGCTCATCTCCCTATCACCTTCCTCAATCACTTCTGACTGTCATGATGTTAGACGTACAGGGTGGATCCGATTGTAAAAAAAGTTTAATTTGCATTACTCTCTATTTAAATCCAAACAATACGACAACAAAATTAGGTGTAAACAACAAGTATCTGCACAAAATGGCAAAGCAATAAATTATCATATCATATAATTTATTTCCGGATCATTTTACGTGCATAAAATAGAATAACAAAATTTGATGCAGATAACACATATATGCACCAAAGGCCAAAGCGAGACATTGTCCAGCGCTGCAGGAAAGCATAGGGTCTCTCAATTGCGACCCTTGCCGCAAGCTCTACCGCTTTTAAGTCGCTACTAGATAAACATACAGCCACATTTCATCTGAAAGTTTTAGATCTCTCATTGTCCATTCATCGCCAACTTTGTCCGTTTTATGCCATCAAAAATAAAATCCCAGCATTGTTAGATCACAACCTTTCGATGGAAATATCCTGTCATCATTTGGTGCAATTATTCGACCAACAAGTTTCTCTCGCTACAAATTAATCTTGTGGTGTGTGGTATGACGCCCATTCTGTCTGAGTCAAACTTCATTTACATTGAGTATCATCAATCCCGCTTTCAAAGGACATATCAAAAACCTTTGCTTGCAGTAGTCACATTATTAGCACTGTTGAAAGATAGGCGAGCATGATTGAAAAGAAACAAAGATAGCAGAAAATCAGAAAAATTGTCCAACTAAGGCTTCAGGCACTAAAATAGTAGTTCTTAAACGGTAGTCCATAGCGAGTGAGTTCTTTAATGCGTTTTTCTTTAGGGCAAAAATTTTATTTTGAGAAGCGTTCTTTTCAGTCACTCCGTCCACTCAATAAAAATGTGCTTAGTCTTGAATCTAAGGTGCGAGAGTATTGTTTGTATAAAAGTAGGCTTTGTCGATTTATTGCTGCAATTCAGGGGGAAGTCATTATATGCCTTTCATATTTCATTGTTACTTTCTAAACGAGGATTTGCTTAAGCCTTATAATTTATAAAAAATTTTTTATGCACGAATGATCCCTCTGAGCTCACAAGCACGTCAGCAACTAAAGAATTTTAATTCTGGCATATTTGAATGTTATTTCTTTAAAATTATTGCCAACCGTGAAGGGTGAGTGCAATGTAGAACGATCAAAGAAAATTCAATCTTAAGCGCTTCAACTTCATCCTTGACTTGTTAGAAGATCTCGTATCATTAACACGCAACCATCAATTAATGCTCGTATGGTAAGCATCCGCTGAATCCACTTATATCTAATATATGCGGTTCGTCCGCGTCTCGCAAAATATAGCTTATAGTTATAACTTACAGTATAAACTTACTCTGGACATAAAACGATCAGCTCCAGTGCCTTCTTCATCCTTAAATACTATATAATCACTTTCAACCCAAATTAATTTTTTAAAATTTGGCGAATCTCGCTTTATAGCGCCTTCACTTACTCCCGATGCGCCCAATGTCTGTTCAGGTATGTTCGGAACATGTTCTTTTTGTACTAACGGCTTGGGGCGATAATTAAGATTTCTGCGATGGCTAAAACCGAAACTTCTACCAGGACCACACCCGAAAGCTGATGTGATTAAACAAATTATTAATAATATGTGAAATGAGTAACGCAGATAAGATGAAATGGTTTTTCTTTTCAAACAACATAATATTGACAAATAGTAAAAATTTGATCGCGCATACGTATCGCGTATTTCGCTGTTAACATTTGAACGAATATCGCAATCAGAACAAAAATGTTCCGCAATTTCAATATTGAGACAAGGCACTCGTTGATTTTGTTTCATTTTAATTGTTTTTATTTTTTTAACTTTATTTATTTTTTAATTTTTTTTTTTTTTGTAATATATATTTCTCTTTGTTATTTATTTATTTATTTTCAATATTTACACTATAAACATTTTTTTGTTTTGTTTATATGCGCCCGAAGTTTCATTTTCACAATTATCGATAACAATTCTATTTTAATATCATTAATATCAAGCATAAACCATTTATCAAAGAAATGCATTCATTCATTCGTGCACTCGATAGCAGCAAGCAGCACAATAATTGATTCTATTAGTTGCGTGCGTTCGCCTGAACGAAACTTTATAACAACCGCTGTACACGATGACTGATTGACAAATAATTCTAAAATAAAGGTGCTTAACATTTCCTCAACAGAGCGATTTTCTTGTTTTTATCCTTTCGCCGCATTACAATATACGTAGAGTATGCCCATTAGTTGCTGACACGAGTGAATGAATGAACTAAATTCATTTTGCGATCTAACAAATACTCCGTTTAGCATTTAGCGTCTCTCATTGGACTACACACACAAATACAACGACACATCAGCGTATTGTGGTGAATTCATTTTCTCATTCTCCGTTATACGTTCGCATAGCGCATGTGCAAGATAGACCGAGACGACTAGCACGCATCTCTACGACTAAGTTTTATTCATTTGCTTCCTTTAGGTATCCAAGAGTAACAAATATAATAAATAGTACTTTTTGTAGTAGTTTTGATGATCATTCACATATTGTTGTACCAATTGAATATTGAATATACGCTTTGGTGCTACTGTACGGCAATTATTTACATACATGTACATATACATATATATATCGTTAGGGACATTCGAAAAAATACTTTTTTTTGTCTTTTCATATGCAATAATATATATAATAATTATGAATGAAACGACTTATTTAATTAAAAAGTGACTAAGAAAATGATGTCCTTTATCCACAAAACGAAATGAAACCGAATAATTACTCGCTTTTTAGATGAAGTAAATCTATTTATTTGAACTGCAAGAGGTTGGTTTTTTTCTGTGGATTAGTTCTACACTATCTTCTTCTCTGATGATTTACGAGCCCTACGAAAATTCATATTTTTCATTTTGCCCAAAACACGCAAATCGCATATCTCGTTGGAAGAGATAATTTGAAACAGGAAATGGCTCATCTCATATGCTTTTAGTCGCTATGACTTCCTCTTGCTTACGCTGAAATACTACAGATGCTCCCCAATTTACCCTACAGACTTAGTTAATTTAATAATGATTTATTATATTTTACTCATTAACACGACTGATGCTCTTTAGCTCCTTGATTGTAAGAAATTTTCTTCTCCTTTTTTTCTCACCCCACCTACAAAGAGTATTAATAATGAAACTAAAATTTTTGGGATTTTTGCGATAGTTTCAAAAAGCTTTCACTTTCCCAAAGCCATTTAATATTCACCGAAATTAGTCCACATTTTTATGGGTCGTGTCTTTACTAAGTTACAGTTTACCGCGAAGTGACAAAAAACAAATGATGTAAGCACTAAAATTAAACCAACTTAGCCTTTATTTGCGACCACACAAAACCAAAAAGACAACCAAATCATGCACATTTTCAATGCAAGCGTTGAAAAGACCTTTGGGCGTGGTTTGCGGGCTTAACAGGTCATTTTTGAACAAGAAAACAGGATTGCGCTTACTGTCAAAATTAGATGAGATTAACTAAGACGATGTGTAACTTCAACAAAATGGCGCACCATGAGATGCTTTTTGTGACAAAATCAATTCATTGCGAGAAAATTTCAGGAAGCGTGTAATCTCCAATCTCTGATGGAATAAAAAAGCGCCGAAAATTGTTGTCGAGAAATTCCCAATTTACCAAAGTCCAGTGGCGATCGTTGACAAGAAATCATTTTTAAATAAAAAGATCATGAACTAATAAAACCAAACTTTAAAAATTGGCGAATTCTGTTATCCTTTTAGTTTTTATTACAAAATGAAAGAAAATTTTTGCGGTTTTGTTAAAGTGTCAATTAAAAACGAACGAAAAGAACTTGAAATCTTATGGTGGATATGGAAAAACTCATTAAAGGAAAACTAAAAAAATATGGCTTACTATAAATAATGTTTGGAGGAAAAAAAAAAAAACAATTCTTAGCCTCCAGCCCTATTTATGTTCAAGAATAACACATCGCCAGGTTCTTGGCAATATCCTATCCCTTGGATACTTGCATATTATGCCTTCATATATACTTGCTAAATAAAAAAATATATATATTTGATTTTGAGAGTAGGAGAAAGAAGTCATGCTACCACTGGGGGGACTTAGTGCTTAATATTTCAATATTGTTTTGAACCTTTTTTGCGGAGCCAAATTGCTTGCTGTAGACTATATTCTTGTTTACTCTACTAGTTTTTAACTGTAGAGTGTCAGCGGTAAGCCGTTATTTTTTGTTTTTTTTTTACAGAATTAGTTAATTTATTGGATATAAGGAATTATTGTTTAAAGTAAAGGATATACACTTTATTTATTGCCTTTGTGCTTATTGGATATTTTATTCTCTTATGTTGAAGTTTGAATTATTATTATTTTTGTGTACCTTGTTCTAGTTTAATTTTTAATACTGTGTACTAGCTGTAGTTGCTCCAATACTTTAAGTTGGCGTTTGAACGGCTTTGTATTGTTTCCCGAGTACATATCCAAATAAATAAATAAATAAAAAGAAATGACATCATTTTCCAAATTATATATACATACACTAAATTACCTAAAGAAATATAATATTTTTGAAAAAGCCTCATTTTAAGCTTACCTTTAGGATTAACAACAAAAAAAATATTACTCTACATATAGGAACTACATCCACTCCTCGTAAAAGTAAAGTGAAAATTAAAATTTATTTTTACGTAACTTATTGCAAACTTTGACGTCAAATGTAATCTATTTTTTTTAAATCAAATATCGTCGCCATCCCTTGCGAATATCTTTTCTGTTGGAGAGTCTTGATCAAAGCATAGTTTAGTTAAGAAATATTTCCGAAAATTTTCATTAACTTTCTACGGTTTGTCATTAAAAGGGTGAGGACGAAATATTTGTTTCTGTTTATCGTTTCATTTAAACACAACTGATAAACTTGAAAAATTGATGACGTTCCGCCAGTTCATACCGGTTGTAAAGTGTTCAACTTTTTCTGACCTTTCGTTCAAACTGTAGTGAAAAGAAAACAAAAATATTTTTTTACATATATATATATATATATATATATTTTTTTTTATTTTAAGAATTTTTATGAATGTATGCTATGTTTGCTAACAAACACAACATGAGGTCATAAAAATGCTCAATAGCAAAATATGACCTGCAAACAATGCGATATATGTGCGATATACTTGGACTCAAAGCGGAATCGCATCAACCGAAATCGAAAACGATTTATTGTAGATTTCATTATTTTTCGGTCGACCAATTTGTGGCCATACAGGTTTATATAATACTTGTGAGTTTGTGTATGTTTGTTTGTGCTTATGTTTAAACAAGTATTATTGCATGGCCTCATCGTATACCTGGCATATATTGTTTTGCGGCTTGTGGTTTATAATGAGATCGGCAAAGTGTTAAGATCAAAAGCCTTGCGACCATTGACAAATGTCTTTAATGTTGTCTTTTTAGTGTTGTAACTGCATGTTGCTGCAGTTTTATTGATGCCTGTGCTTCTTCTCATTCTTCTGTTTTTTTCCTTCTCCTTTTCTAACTTTAAGTATTTAAGAAAAAAAAAACTATTTTCTCCTGCCACTATTGCTATTTTGATAGTAATAACATTCCTATCTTTGTTTTAATGACAAACTGTTTTTTTTTTTTTTTTTTTTTTTTGGATATTTTCCACATTACAATGGTTTACAGAGCATATATGCATGTTTAATAGCATATCATATCGTTGAGATTTCACAAATGCCATATAATAGGGTAAATTAACTTTGTCCTTACGTTTGGCTAAGTTCGACCATATAAACATCTTAAGCTATATATAATGTTAAAAAGGGAAAATGAATTCGAAGGGTGTCTCTGGCCTACGAATAAAAAGTTGATGTCTCGAAAAATTGCATTTCCTGTTTAAAACTTGTAATAATGAGTCGTGACTTTTCGATTTGAAAAATCATTTATTTAAGGTAAAATGAACTGCGCTCCTGCGGAAGAAATGAAAACTTTCTTTCATTTTTGAAAGGTAAAGCGTCTTTAAAAAAAAGCAAAACTATTATATTTTGCTTGCCCTCATCATTTTCATAAGACAAGTTCTTAGTGTTTTCACTTATTCTTATTACTTAATCTCTTCTAATTTCAATTTAACGGAAAGTCGCCGTTTTTGAGAGACTTCATGGTGGTATTGTTCCGTTTATGCGTATCCCTTAGCAAAAATGTAAACATACAATAGTCAATAGTCAATGGCAAATGGCGACCTTTGCCCTCTTGCAAAAAAAATACGAAAAGAATTCTTCATTCCCTTACGATAACACCAAATCATGGCAAACGTTGAGTGAATTGGGTGAGCTGGGAAGCTTCGATAGATTTACCACATAGCCCTAGCCATGTCCCGCCTTACTACTTTCCTTTCTGCCTCTTCTTCCTCTTAACGTTCTTCCTTTAAGCTTTCTTTAAAAGAGTGCCATGAAAATGGCTTTGTACAAGTTTCCGTAAACAAATCCCCCAAATTCCGCTGTGATAACATAATGATTTTAGTAGAAAAATTACAGAACGTAGTCAACCAATATAATCAATATTTCTATTCGGTTTAATAAATTCTATTTAAAAAATAAAAAAAGTTCGTGGTGTAGGTATGGTGACATTTTGCTTTCACTGCAACTACTGCTCACGTAACTTGCGAACATTAAGCTTGCAACCTTGCGAACATTAAGAAAGCAACCAAAGCTCTTCTTCTATTTTGTGCAACTACGTTCCGCGTTTAACAGAATAACATGGGCCTCTATGAAACTGAAGCTTTTACTGCTCAAATTGTTGCTGTGCAGCCGAGTATAATGGTTCGTCGGAAAATGCAATGTT